AAACTACAATTCAGCGGTTTCCTAGAATGTGTAACGGACGAAGACCACGAGTGTTATTTGCATTGTTAAAATCTCTGCGATTCTAGTTTCCATTTCCACAATGGAGTAAATAGATTACGCAATTAGATATTAAGAGAGCAGCAGGGAACACCGATACGCTCTAAACACGGGGTTTCTAACTGTTCGTCAAACATTATCGCGCGGCGAGTCGTGTTTTATCCTTTCGCATTGAGCGGCGCATTAGTGTTTCAAAGCGAAATTTCTTACGATTTAACCGCCGTCGGTGGCGCACGTTAATTACGCGAGACTTATCTGAAACAGCATGCAGCGGCGGTGCACCAGTCGGGGATGAGCCAGAGAAATGTAATTACGCGTATGCTTGAGTCCCCGACGACGACGACTTTTCAAAACTGTATCAACTTAATGGCGTAATAACGCAACGTAAAAAAAGGAATCAAGTGTGTCAAGGATGAATAATAACTCTTCTTTTCACAAGAGAAAGAGAGAGATGTGGAAATGAATCCTGGAGTCAGGGTGGAATCGTCGTTGAAGCTCGAGAAGCGGATTATAAAATTTTTCCCGCTAACACAGCTTTCGTTCTTTTTTTTTTTTTTCTCTCTTGTTGCGAACATTAGTTAAGATTACCTCGGTGCCGTGCCGTTCGTAGCGTGTATCGTTCAGGGAGAGAGGGGGAAAAAAAAGGAAGAAACAAAGAGTAAAATAGGAGAGGTAGGAGGTGGATAAAATATAGAAAAAAAAAATCGTAGCTAGAAGCTGAGCCAGTACGTTGACTGAGCGGATTAAAATGGACGCGACACGAGGCGCTCGGGATATCACTTTTCTAGCGCGAACGATAACATTCAGAATGTTCGGAGGCAACCGGCGTATCTATTGAAATTCCAGTGGCTCCTGTTTCACCGGATCAAATCCTACGAGTTTTCCATTGGTTACCATCGGGGGGAACCGAGAATGTGACAGCCCTATTGGCCGCTGCCTTTTCAACGAATTGGAGCGTAGTGCCTCTCGGTTAACGTGCCGTCCCATCTATGGTTACCCTTTCGATTCAACGCCATCGATATCTCTTTTGTCCCGGAGAAGTATCGAAGGATATCCAAATGGGACGGAGACCGTTCGCGACGGGAATTAAACGGGGTTAACGTGGTGGAGAATGGTCGTCGAGGTTGTACGAGGCGCGAACACCCGTCCGGCGTTAACAGTTGTCAAAGTTTCACCCGGCTGTCCGCGCGCCAGTTTCACTTTGCGCCGTATTTATTTTCCCATCGTCGTTGCTGTGCAATTTCTTTTACGAAAAACTGAATGTATAATCTGAAATATTCGAAATCAACCTGTGAAATTTAAATATTCATAATTCAGCGAAATATTCGAGTTTAACCCGTGGAATTGAAATATTTAAATTCAGTCAATAAAATTGTGGGATCGGAAATATAAATAGATATTTATTAACAAAAGATAAGAATAACTATGATACATTGGGCTTTGACACACGCTTCTTCGATTCACGCCTCTCGTCTTTTTCAAACACACTGCCCTTTCATCCCTCGCACGCCGTACTTTATAGCCAGGCCCTTCGTGAGCCTCTTGTCGCCGGGGTTTCTCCCTTTGGGCCTGGCTATCGTCGCTCGTCGCCCGCTTTCTCTCTCATCCTCACAATTACGATACTACAAAATTGAAATATTTAAAATTAAAACACTCTAACTCAGCCAATAGAATTCGAATGTTAAATTCGGCCAGTCAAACTGAAATTCAGGTTGAAATATTCAACTTCGTATAAAATATTCATCGTACAGAATTATTCGAACGCACGCTTCATAATTCGTAATTCTCCGTTTATAACGCGCTGCTTGCAATTAAAAATTCCACAACGGTGACACACTCGTAACACAATTTACTAAGGTCAGTGCATCATGCAGCATTACAGTACATTGAAGCGCAAAATGACTTGGTGCACTCCACCGTCGTTGCACGTCGAAATAACAACGTCCCTTCGTAACGAATGCAAAGTACTATTCGCGTAAAATTCGAACGCGTTCTCTCTGCTGTCGCGCTTGTCGTGGCACCCTCTCTCTCCCTCTTGGCGCCACTCTGTCCCATAAATCGCGTGGCATTAGGGAAGTTCATTTTACGCGTGACGAAGTCGCCATTATCCGGCGTCCACGCGGAATACTCTCGTCTTTAACTTCGTATTTACATAACGACGCGATGCATCACCATACATTATATCGGACGTCTGGCCGTTTTCATATTTTCGTGTCTCGCCTATGTCGAGGCAGCCAGAGAGCCTCCCCTTCTTCAGCCTTCCCCCTTTGCTTTCGCCTCTCCTATATATCCAAGAGCGAGCGAGTTTTCCAAGCCGCCAGTGACACGGAAGTAACGCACGATCGATTACACCACTGGCTTATAAATAACTTGGTTTTTGTGCGCGTCTGTGTGTGTGGCCGCACGGAACCGAGGATTAAAAACGGAAGATCGAATCTCTTAAAGAGTGCGTTATACCAGCGGAACGCGAGAAAGAATTTAACTAAAACTCGCGAATATATTCTATCAAACGCCGACCTCTCTGAAGAGAAAGAAACTATCGAGGAACGCTTCGAAAATTTCACTTCTCCCAACGAATCACGAAGAGAGAGAGAGAGAGAGGAAGGAAACTCATCTCTCGACGAGTAGAAAGAAAACGGATTACCAAGATTAACGGAGTAATCTGGCCAGGCTCGGTCCAGATCTAGCTAATTCGACGACACGTAGCAGCGAGCGTAGTAGCCAACGTAGAAAGAGGTAGAGAACGTGGGTTCAGCAAGCAGCAGCAGCATCGAGCGAAATTGGACGAGGCTGCTGTCCGGTAATAAAAAGCGCTCTCTCTCCTTCGGGACCATTAAGATATTCGATATATCGATCGTCGTTTAAACTTGTTCCGTCGTCGATTTTATAACTGAATTCCACGATACACCGGGTATCATCGGTGGCCCGCTATCAGAAAGCTGAACATTTTTGTCGTTCGTAGCAAATGGAACACGTACGAATTTTTCCACCCCTTTTCCTCTCTTTGCTAGATATCGCATAATCGCTCTATAATTCATCGAAATTTCGCCGCCGCCCGGTTCGAATTTCGCCCGTTACCAAACGGAAGGAAGCGTAATGACGTTAAACGAACAGCGTCCTCCCCCGCCCGACGCGGAGGAGCGAAGGGACGGCTGAACGTTTCACGGTTAGTCGACCTTAGGAAAATTAATTTGATCGTTAGGCGAGAGCGCGAGAATGGGATTAGGATTCGGTGTAGTGAGGCGCGAAGGAGCCAGTCGTTTGGCTTGTCCTTTTATCTCGGTCCGTTGCAGATTAGCAAGACTTAACACGGTTATTGTTTCCGTAATCCTTGGGATAGCGCCCGTGTTCGGTAAACATTTTCCCTCGAAACGTGCGTGTGTGTGTGTCGTTGTACAGCCTGTAAACGAAGTGTCGCGTCTTCTTTCTCCACTTCCGATACGATGGAAACACAATTTGTCACACGGATTTTTTTCTCTCTCGTTACACTTCTCACCTGTCCTTCCTTTTCCCCTCAGATTTTTCTATTTCCTGCAAGAGCGCCGAGAGATATTCAATGGAACGTGAACGACAAATGCACGCCGGTGAAAAGATTGTTCGCGACAAGGTAGACGAGTCCGACGTTGATCGAAGAAGACGTGGATATTGTATACGGAGTGTGCTTGGAAATTACAGAGGCAAATTTCTCTATAGCTTGGAAAAACCAAGCGAAGAATTCTGTTGTTACCTCGGCGGTGGTGTGTTTTCCTCCAGCCACTGTGCTCATTTGCATTTTTTATATGGAGCTCGTGTCGTTTAGCTTGATCACGTCAGATATTTCGATTGTTACGAGTGCGTAAGAAAAAAGGAGAAACGTTTGAGGGAGAGAAATTTTTCGTCCCGTGGAAGAACAGGTGGCGTAACGTTGGTTAATGAGATTTTTATCTCGCGGTCATATTTCCCGAGATATCTACATTTTCCCTTTATATTATATCGTCGGTGTAATATTATATCGTCGAGATTTACGGGAAATTTTATTTTTCCCCCCTTTAAGAGGCGAACTTCATCAGATAAATTTGTATTTTTAACTACACTACGATACGTATATACGGAGATAGAGAACCGGTATAAATTCTCTCGCGGCAGCAGTCCCGTGGTCGTGTCGGATGGTTTTCCGATTAAAAGTTTGAATATTCGCTTATAATTGCGGGATGTTTATGCTCGCGGCATTGGTAAGCAACGACGTTGTCAGTAAGCCATTTACATTTGTACCTTGCCGGGGCGAATATGAAGCGAGAAGTTTTAATTAGTTACCGTTTCGCGTGATTTTATTACGCGGCATAATTGCACGCGATGACACAGCCGAATAATAATACGCGTTTCGTTTCCCAATATGCTAATGAGATTTTGAAAAAGCCAACGCCCGGCCTACCCACCGGGGCTTGTTGTAACAATGGACTGTGAAAATGGTAGAGCTCGGTTTCTAGAATGCCTACGACCGATCGATAGGCCCGTGTAGCAGAAAGCGGCTACAACCAAGAGGCAGAAACAGGTGATCGACCCGAGGCTTTCGCGGAACGTTTGATGAAAACGTTTACGCTTCGCAGAAACTCCTGAATATTTCTTCCTGTTTTCTTCTTTTCCCCTTTCTACTCTCCCTGGACAAAAGCCTAGGGAAAACATTTTATCAGATAGAAAATGAAACTGGTTGCGTTGTGATCTGATCCCAGAAAAGAGAGAAATATTAGCCGTTCAATTCTGGCTATTCGTAAATTTTCGTGGTTTACTTTAGACGATGCTTGTTTCGTGGGTGATCATTGACAGACATATTCATTTTCACGTGAAAATCGACGACGATGTAAATGATAAATTGGACGGTAGTCGATAAAGCAAGCGATTCAGAAATCGCTTCAGTGACGAGTTTTTAATGGCTGTACTAATCCGTGAATGGCTGGTTTGCGCAGGATGTTCTACGAGAGCTGGGACAGAAAAAGCCGCAACTGGACGAGCTGGTGCACACCGCGGAAGCGCTTCGCGCGGACACGAATAGACAGCAAGTGCACGGTAAAGGTAAGTTCATCTTTTTCTCTACTTCAACCCTTTTTCACTTGCAGAAATGTTTCATTCCACGTTCTAATTCAATTTAAATCACTTCAACTTCGTTCCGAATTGTACAGACATTAACGAGACCTCTATCCTTGCCAATTTCCATATGAACACGTCGGTTAATTCTCTACCGTTTATCCAGATTGGCTGATAATTCCGTTTGCTAGTCTTTCGTACGGTGTAGAAGGCGAATTTCTTTTTTCGAGGTACGAAAAGACAAGTTGGAGATATAAAATGGAATACGTAATGAGAATATCGTTGCGTCCACGTTATCGATAGTCCGACGACCTTAATAAGTTTTTGTCGTGGCAATTGATTACGGAGAACAGTTTCTGCTTGCCAAGCACTTTTCAGGTCTCCGGCGAATTTCAGAAGTTTAATTATCGGCCTTGATTGCTCGGCCAAAGCCTGTAATAAATTGAACCATCTGTTCCACAGGACAGCTACTTATTATATCAAGTATCTTGCTCTAGGCCGTTCTTTTGAATCATTTCTTACTTCTGATTGAATGGATCGCGTTGCAAAAGGATCTCCAGCGTCAGCGTGGTTCTTATGAAATCGTCAATTTGTCTTCTCTAGCGTGTACCGAGTGCTTCTCAAGTAGATAATCAGACATTCGAGCTTTACTCTATCTGGTTCTGGATATTCGAATTGCCTTCGAGCTTTGCGGAGCGCGAATGGTTTCGAACAAAATTTTTTTCTCTTCAAAATCTCCTTACTACTGTGAACAAAAGTATCTCGTTCGTCCGAATCGAATCTTTGTTAATTTCTTATCGAAAGATCGACAATTCAAGGTTTCCAAATCATAAACTTTCGAGTAGCGAAAAATTAAATTTTCAGGAGCGAAATAATTTTCAAAGAAAGAAAAAATTTCGCATTTCTTTCGTCTAAATTTAATTTTTATCAATTTCATTTCGAAAGTTCGATAATTGAGGGTTTTCAAATCACAAAGTTTCAAGTAGCGAGAAATGAAATTTTCAGAAGCGAAATAATGTTCAGACACAGAAAATTTCAAATTTTCAAAATTTCGCATTTTCAACGTTGCGATTTGGAGAACAAAAGTATTTCTTTTCCTCCCTTTAATCTAAGAATCGACAATTCAAGCTTTCCAAATCACAAACTTTCGATCGTATCGATCGCGATATGAAAATCTTTCGATTTCTACACCTCAGAAGAAATCCAGTGTTTATCAGCGTTAAGAACGTTTATTCACCTCTAGTTTCTCACGGGGGTGTTGAGCTGCTAATTGGCGACTCGTTGATTTATCTGGGCGTTCGAAATTAGCTCGGCTAACCATGAAGGGTGAGGGTCGGTAATTCGATTGATTTCGAAACTTTTTAAATCCCCGCGAATCTGGCGCGGATTGACGCAATAGAGGGTCGAGCGGCGGAGATTAACGGCAGTGCCGTTAATTGTTTCAAGAGCCCTGGAAAACTCTCTCTCTCTTCCCCGCGCCGATGTCGCATTGTTCCTTCTATATTAGCGTGCCGGTACTTGTCAGTCCCGTCTGGTACTACGCTCGTGCATTATAGCCAGACGATTCTTTCGTCCATTGTTTTCACCAGGCCGCCCACTCTGCGTGAAATAGGGAAGAAAGGGTTCGCGTACCGCGTCTATCAACCAGTTGGTGCCCGTCTCTTGCGTAATGTGCCGCAAACCTGGATTCCGCTGTTCGAGAATTCTTATCAGCCGCACCGCCCTGTCTCTTCCTATTTCGATATTTAACGTTGCTTAATATGTACATCGGCGTTACACGATTCTTAATTAGTATTAACATCGTACAATTTTTGGTTTAATTTGGAACGTATTTCGTTTCGTTTCTTTTATCTTTGTGGTTTCAATTGTGCACCAGGTTTCGGTAATTAATTATTCGAAATGTGACAGACTTGAAAATTTCGGAAGAAGACGTAATTCGATAGAAATCTGGAACATTTTAGTTTCTGTCACAGAAACTGTGTGTTACATTTAGAAATCTATTTGGAAATCTTCCGTTAAGTTTATTATATAAGAGATTATAGCAGAGATTTCGAGGTGTTCTTTATTCATAATCTCAGTCCCAAGGATTTCAAAGAAAGATAAGAAAGAAGTTTTTAGAATTTTAATTTTTACATTTTCAAGTCCCACGTTTGCAAGTTTTTAAGATTTGATAGTTTCCGAAGTTTTGCCTTGTTTAGTTTATACATCGAGCGTAGAGAGGACAAGTTTGGAAACACACTCCGAAAATAGTCACCCCGAATGTCGACAGCGAAGGAAGAAATCGAATTTCCTTCGACGGCCACTCATCCCCTTTTAGGTGCCACGACCTACACAACTTGACTTCGAAAATCGACGTTGACACTTTGACTTTTTCCCTATTGACGGTAGAACCAACCGTAATCGATCTTCTACAGTTGTTTCGTTATTAAAAATTTCGTTTCACCAGAATGCAAGTTCAAAGTAAATTTATTTCGTTATTTGTAACGTAATGAATATTTAACATAGTGAACGTAGTGAATATTTCATTAGAAATACAATCGTACAAAAGAAAAATAATTTTACTTATCTCAGTACTTAATAAATTAACTGATAAGCTAAACGCACATAAATGCAAGTTCAAAGTATAAGTGCTTTATAGCATAAGTGTCACAGCCTGCATAGTGAATATTTCATTAGAAGTAGAGTCGTGCAAAAAGAAAAAAGAATTGCATTTATCTCAGTACTTCAAATTAACAGACACTGTTGTCAGCACAACTTAAGTAAATTTAACACAGGATAGGGTATTAACCAAAAATGTATTAAAGTATAGTGATAAGCGACTGATAAGTGCTTCGGTGTCCGTCTCGCTCGACGGCTATTTCCAGTGTCCTTTCCGCGTCGTATCCCGTTGGAGCCCCCTCGTTCGACTTTCTGGGTAAAGGGCTTAGTTTATGGTACCCTCAGGTACCCGCGCGCTTTCTCTTCCTGGGTAACAAAGTCCAGGCCACCACTTCGCCGCCGAAATCTCGCATTTCTTACGCTGTGCTGGATTATTACTAATAATAATGCGTCAGCCAGTAAGCAAAAATGAATTGTGTTATATATATGAGAAACACTGCTAGTGAAAATAATATAATAGACCAGAAGTCATCGGACCCATAGGCCTGTAACTGTTTATGCCTAAGGGACCTGGGTAAAAGGCTGGTGCAGCCCTGGTCTCTTTTTCTCAAGTGGACAACAGACTTTCTGTCGTGCCCTTACGAGTTTTTCACTTTCACTTCGACTGCGATTTTCTAAGCGTTAAGACGTCCTTTCGCGCCAAAAAAAAAAAAAAAAAATAAAATACGTTTAAGGGAATTCATATAGAACACCATTAATCCAATACACCGAATGAACGAAAGGGTTACACGATTAAAAGTTACCCTCGAAAGCCGCAAGAAAACAGCGGAAAAAGTCACGAACCTCATATTACTCGGTACTTACACGAAACTTCAACACCAAATCGAAACTATACATAGTACGTCGAAGTAAGAAACTTCACGCCGGTACGTTTTTAAACCACGTCAGAATGCGCTAAAAGTGACGCAAAGTGTCGAAAGTTGGGCAAGTTTATCGTTCGGCGGTAAACGGAAAAATAAAAAGCTTCTCCACTGGCGTTTTATCGATTTAAAAATCGCCGGTACGCGCGCGGGAGTTGCCGGTTTTATGGCACAGGGAAAACTCCCGATGTCTACTTTTTCGCCTTGGCTTGGCGTGCTGCACGTGCCTCCTCGAGATTGAACCAGGAGCTGAAGTGGCTCGACACGGCAACCTCCTCTCTCTCTCTCTGTATATTATCGAAAGACGGCCGCGTTTCGGCCGCTCTCCAACGGAGATTTTTCATAACGGTCACGTTATCAGACCGCCGCAAATGTGCACCTAGGCTGAAGTGTGTTGCTGTTCCCTCGCAGCCCTTAATTACCGGCACGAAACACGCGGGACATGCTAACGTTCTCGCGTTTCACCTTCATCGCATCCTCTGTGCTTTCGCAAACTTCAACTGTTTCGTGATTTCTTCCAATCTTCGTTTTCACCTCGCAAGTGCACTTGGAACTTTCAACGTTGCAACCTTTCTTCTAGCTTTCTCTTGCTCTTTTTTTTTCTTCTTTATTTTCTCTTCTCTTCGTTCGTCGGATTTTTGTCCATATCGATCATTTCGTCTTCTCCATACCCGTGGATATAAATGATAAATAATTCGCATTAGCGCGGAAAAGAAATAATTCACGTTGTCGCAGAAAAGTTTTATTCCGATACTATTACCCGGTGTGTTATTAAAAATTCATAGAATTCGTCGTGAAATATTCATGTAACCTGAATAATAAATTGGTTAGCCGGTGAAAGATAACCCGTGATTAAAAACGGTTCGGATTTCATTGTAGGTTTGTAGTGAACATTAAAGGTATTGCTCTTTCACCGTGCTGAATCGCATTATTAACCAAAGCTGGGATACCTCTGAATACAAACGTAAATGCAATATCTTGAAATGCAACGAATAAAGACTCCACTTGAGACTCGATAAAACCACTACTCTGTTATTTCCACGAATGCAGAAGCGATAGGAGAAAAACTGCTCGATATCTTGTCGTTAAAATTACCCGGACTAGAAATCCACCTCGACAGAGGCACGTGTACAGGTGAGTTAACGTTTCAAGCAGAAAGTAGGCACGTGTACGGTTTCAAAGGGTGAAAAAGGTGGCAGTCGTTGAACGCTTTTTCTGATCGGGTATCAGTTTATTTCTCAAAGATGTATGCAGATGGATGCAACTTCGCTGCTGGCGTACACGTCTCATTGATTCCCTTTCTGGCGGATTTCGTATTCGTTGCCGGCACTTCGGTGACTCGCGATGGAAGAGAAGAACCGGTGGGAAGGTTGGTAAAACGTCTCGAGATAAGCCATCGTCGTGTCCCAGCTTTTGTCCCAACGTTACGTACAAGTCGACTGTGGAACTTTCTTTGAGGAAAATTCCACG